TACAATAATATATGTGTAATATCCCAGTGAGTAGAAAAATTAGATTTTTTTACTCATTACGATATTACAAATATATTATTTTATTTATATTCTCACCAGTAGTTCTTCTGATTAACTCAAGTTTTATCCAGGGTTTAAATAGCATTTCAATCATGGAATATTCTAACACCAGGCTACTGAAAGAATTAAAGTAAATGATAAACAATTACTTAACAAATCATACCGTTTAAAAATGTCTCATTATTTTTAATCTTAGCAATATATGACGAAGACATGATCTGAAAAACAAATAATAACACACTAATGAATTTTTTTGTTCAATTTATCTGTTAGAATGAAATTGTAATATTTACTTTAAAAAATAAACCATTTCAACATGAAACCAAGTATATTCATAATACAGACCTTTCAGCATTAGTTAGAATTGTAGCTATTTACATAAGTTTAATTGTTAAAGACTATTTTTATTAATCTTTATTTTTCATATTTAATTCTATTTGTTTTTCTGAGTTAAATAACAACCTTCGAAGTACCCCATACATGTATACACATATAAAGCCATTTGTAAGATTAATATTGATCTACCATTGAAATGTATACACACATGTTTTATACAGTTCATATAAAATTACCGGTATGCTTAAATGGTGGGGAATAAGTTCGGGTTTTTTTCGACTTCTTTTGAATTCATAATGAATTAAAAAGGAGTAAACAGTAAAGTAAATAAATCACATGTGAATACTTGAGAAGATAGCTGGTGTTAGAAGTAGTTATGTACCTGTTAAATTCAAATAGAATAATAATTAATGTAGAAGAAATCGTTATCAATATTAAGAAATTACTGAAAAAAATGTTAGCCAATGAAGATTTATTAGAAAGTTCAGGTTGCACAAATATCCATTCAGCTTCAAAACTTAATGATCTAACTCTAAAGAGTGACATCATTTCGTTTCAATCAGTAGAGCATAATGATGAAGTTATTGCAAACAAATAGTCGCTCATATATTCTTTGTTTTTGAGCATAAAATTAGGATTTGTAAACTTTAGGAATATTGTAAACTAAGGAACATTGAAAAGTGGTGATAGTTAACTTCAATTCAAACAATCTTCATATACCTTCACTAGTGACTATTTCTATGTTTAGCATGAATGAACATCAAGTTTAATCACCTATTTATTAATTTCTGTATTTCAAAGGATTTTTCGATAGAGGACATAATCGAAGGAATTCAGTTTAATTGAGATTGAAAGGGGAATTTCAGTCATTAGATGGTTGGGTTATAGTTTTCAGATAGACTATTGCCGAGCATGTGAAATATAATGGTCTAATATATGGTTCACTTTGTAAATTGAATACTCATTTGTCTAATCTCATGTGATATTACTGCTGCGAGGAATTCTAAGTTGAAACATTATGGTTATCCATCACTTTCTGCTTTTAAACAGTCCCTTATTGATTTCAGGTTCTGATGTAAACTAATTTAATCAACTTTGATTTTAAAATTATTCAATTTCGTAATAGAATATGCTGTAAAAACGATAATCGGTGATTCGCGAATTCAATCACATAAATATTTTACGTCTTATTTATTAAATCAATAGCAGTAAATGGTCGTTCATTGGCCGAATCTCTCTAAGCTCAACCACAATGTGAGGGGTTTGGACTCGTCTCCATCTATTTCTCCGTTTAACAAACATTGGCTCTCATATTTAAAGTCTCAATCGAAGCTAAATACACGAACTTATTCTCTATTAAGGAGTTATGGTAAACTTGGTTATTCAGTTCAATAACCATTTGAATAATATTTTACATGATGACTAAAGTTCACAAAAATTTTACCAGTCATTTCCTATGCTAATCAATTAATAATCCTTAAGCGATTTGGTGTAAATCTTGCTTGTGAAATGATTTGGAATTGTTTGAATATAGTTGCTGTTTCTTTTATCAATCTCGTTTTATCTTAAGTGTATTTCTCATGAATAATAAGGAATATAGTTTCATAAAAAGTGTGAATAAGCACCACTTATTATGAACTGACCCCTATGTCAATATACCATTGACAAATGTTGACAATATTTGGAAGCACAAGAATATCTCCTATGATTCAAACAAGTATTTGGTTTTATTGGGGTGAATTTCACAACCTACAAAGTATCCGGACTACCCAACCATGACTTTTGAACATGGTTTAGATTTTGTAAGTACTTTAAAAGTGATTTTTATCATGAACTAGGCACAAAATTAAGAATGACTGAAAACCAGGTATAACTGAACAGCTATTTCGTTCTAAATCACGTTACTCACAGTGGGTTCAAAGCTCAAGGGGTTTTCATCTTAACTTTTCGTGTTTTTTGTAAATGCAAACTGATGAGGAGCCGGAAAACTAAAACAAAACAGCTAACAATCTGAAGTCATTTTCATTTTTTAATGGTTTTTCAGCGGAAAAGCCATAGAAAACAAGGGACTATTGAAGTATTATTTTGTTCCGACTTTCCCCATCAGTACATTTTCCCAAGCTCAGAAATTTCTTAATGAAAGAGATACAGGTGGCTATCGGCTCAAACTCCAGTCGTCCAGCTTTTCAAATCCAATCAACCTACCAAAAGTCATCATCAATGGACTACTCAGCTAATGATTATATTACAGAAAAATAAAATACTATACAAGACTAATGTATGCGCATAAAATCAATGTTTTGTACAATGAAACTCGTTTTTCTCTCCACAAATTGGTATTTAAAGAAATTCATACCAAAAACTATGTATTGCCAAAATATACTGACAGATAACATGACGTCAAGTAAGTTGAAAATGGTAGTAACTAATTACTATTTTTGACCGTCGTATACGAGTAGTGTAGGAACAATAACAGGGCGGATTTGCTTGCATATAACATACAATTCTCTTTGAACCTAGCACACAGTAATACCGTCATGCACTGTCCCATCGCCCTTGGCAGATCAGGCAGCTCGAAAGTCACGAGAACACCATCAGGGTATGCGACAGGCTGGGTACCTAAAGAGTTGTATAATAGTGATATTTATTGAATGCGTCTTTCAGCACAAACCCACTGATGGGGTTTTCAGCAGAATTATCGTTTTTAAAACGCAAGTTATCCTCGGAAGCAGTTCAGTTTACTAAAATAGTATAATGAGTGTTTCCAAAACCACAATGTAAAATCTTCAAAAATATTATAACTGCACAAGGATTAAGAGGGTTATCTCTCCTACAGATTATGTTTTGTCTATCCAGATATCCGCTTGATCTACAGATTAGTTTACCCTAATGAATAAGGTTTGGAAAGAATAACCGAGTAGACACATTTCTCCGATTTCTTATAATTTGTAATTAACTTGAAGTGAATAAAAAAATCCTACTCCATAAAGAAACCAGAGCAAACTAAGTACGTGAAAATTTTAAATACTTACAGATAAAAAATAATTTTACATAAACCTACGAGAATTTGAAGTAATGAGAAATTCTTAAACTGATGTATATCAGGCTTGTATTTTAGTCTTTTGTCTGAATTTCCAACAAAGTATTTTTATTACTAACAAGTAATATAGTTTTGAAGTACAAAACTCTATGACATTGGTTATCTTTAAAGCGAGAATACTCACTGGGGATCGGTGTCAAATCTAGCGCGGCGGTACTGTAAGATCAACTACACAGAATTGAAACCTACTCAAAGTACTTGGTTATTCTCATATATTATTTCCACTACTAGGAACAGATCGTCAGAGGCTAATCCTCTCAAAATAACCAACAAACAACAATGAAAACTAACTATCAGAATTCTGGAGTAACCAGTATGCGCAACAGCTTCTTAGTCCTGCCTAAAAATTCTTTAACTCTTTGGGCTTACTGTATTTAACCTTCTCTGGTAACTCTGCTTTCTGGTGTATATTGAGGCGGCATAAAAGTCGCGCCTCTTGTGTAGGATGGATTAATTTATTAAATCGTTGAATTGTGTAGCTTGAGTTTAGAAATATGACTACTTAAGCCTATCGCAGTTTGGTTCGGTAAATAAAATTTATACCAACAATCATCAAAACGATTATAAACTATCCTTCAAATGTGATTTAATATGTTAGGGGGAATTCGATTGGAAAATCCCTGATAGATAATTATGTGCATGACATTAAAGATTGTCAGGCTGAGAACTCTTGTTAAAAATGAAACTTGATCGGTATGTATATTGAGAACAAGAGCCAACAAATCTCCACCATTTTGAGTGAGAAGAGCTCCGAAAGATAAGCGGTACAAATAATACTCTAATGCCCATCCTTAATTGATATTCAAATGACTCAACTCGACTTTTCTACACTGGATGACTGTGTATGCCTACTCAGTGAGCAATTAACACATAAATTAGAGCAACATTTTGATATCTGACCTTCAATAAGCGACGCAAATGTTTAATTTCTGTTCACTTTTAACATTTACCTCTGTTTAAAAATTTCTAATTATTGTGATATCAGTTTTAAATAGAACATCGACAATCTACCAAATGGAAATATGAATTAACATTAAATATACTACAATATTCAGCCACTAGCTACAGTTATATCATGCTGACATAGTTCAATTTTATGAAATGTACCTCTGAAAGACCTTTTGTTTTTTAATTAATTGGCCTCTGACACTTCTTACTCTCAGTCCTAACTGTTCTCCAACTATTCATGTTTACGCCGTTAGTGAAAATTCAATGATCGGAATTCGTAGATGGACGATGTGTTAATAATCTGTAGGTAGTTGAATTAAAACACTTATTTTTTAGGTGGATCTAGATCTATTCGCTTTAAGCCACTTAGTTAGAATTTAGAGGTCTATATTTTTATTGGTACTTAACAGATAAAATGGTTCAGTTTCCACCCAATATTACTGAAAAGATATGATTAAATGGATTGAAAATAAAATAAGCTAAAAACGTTGTCTACGTCTCTTAAGATGAATATAATGATATTCGGGCTGAAAGTTTAATATTAGAAAAGTAATCGGTGGCAAAATTATATTCATCATGATGAAGCTCGCAACAGACATTGTAAAGTTTAGCACAGACAGAGAAAAGATTGAACAAATACTACTCGTACTTACATATGAATGGGGTCAAGCGTCTAACTGATTGATAAAACACCAATAAGGAAAAACTCTGACAAAATAGTTGATCGTAATGAATGGTAATAGATAACATCGTACAAATATCACAAAGGGTTAGAGACTTGTACATAAGAGTTATTATGAATGCATCAGAGTTGGAGAAAAAGAAACCAAAAACCTCCTTATTAGCACTTCTTCGTTTGTTTCATACACAAATTGTACTTCAATTTAATCAAAATCAACAAACAGTTTATTTGATCTCACATGTTTAATAACACCATGAAATAGAGGCTCAAGTGTAAAATCGCTAAGGGAAATCTCTGTAGACTCATGTTGATGTTATTGTATACTTGACTTCTTCAAGCTGATGTAACAGCAGCACAATTTCGTAATCATAAAAAGCAGAAAACAAACACTTGTAAGATTAAAAATGTTGAGAACAGTTCACACAAAACATAAGTAATTATTTATTTTGCATGGTATGTAATATTTGATGAAATATGATAATCGGAATCGTTAATGTTTTTGTGTTACTTCCTCGATTATCTTGACTAAGGTTTGAATAAACGTTTTAATCTAAAACGAGAAAAAGTATTTAGAACTGAAATTGGGATTAATTTTTGTCATTAATATGCACATAATCATATTTTGCAAAAAAACATTGGAACATCTTTAAAATCAGTTTAACTAGTTTTATAATACATATGATGGATTTAGTCAAATATTTTATCTATAAAACGGTTATATTTGTCATGAGGGTAAAACTCTAGTCTAGTTAGTCCATTTATGTCATTCTTTGCACTCTTCATAAGTAGAAAGGAATGAGGTAAATCTGACTGAATTTTTGACGAATCCACAGCTTATTCAACGTACTTATAGAAATCCGAGAAATCAAAGTAGTATATATAATATGAAATCTCTCTGCACATTTATACTGTCATTACACTAGTTACCAACGCTTCAGATTCAGGTTAATGAAATTTTATAGGCAACATACCTATAAGAGCCATCAAATTTAACAGGTACATTATTCAATAACTAATTAGAAAGCATATTCTCTTTACCAGAACATTTACATGATAAAACGGGGCATCATATTTTCATCACAGATTTCTCCATGAATTATCAAAGAAAAGCTCTTAGGATCTCATTTGAAACTGAACTATTATTTAATTACCCAAAAACGATTTCTATCAGAAGATTACCAATTATCTGAATATTAAATTAAGGTAGGCAAATCCGTAATTACATTTAATATCAAGTATTCTTAACCAAAAACACATTAACGACGTTCGACGATTTACTCAAAAGCATGTGTGTGGTATGTTGATATACCACTAAATTATGGACCACACACTTTGCTGCTACAAATAATGTTTTTTGGGAAGATTGTCACAATGAAGCTTTAATCCAGTTAACTTTGAAAATTATAGTTCGGTTTGTCTTATGTCTGTCTGTATGATAGTATACTGTTGGTCAACTTTATACTTTAAAATGTCAGAAAATGAGCAAAAAAACAACAGTTATAAATAATACTAGTGAACCAGTAAGTGAGGCGTAACAAGTATCTTCTTCAGGTTATAATTTGTCTGATGTGTATGCACGTTTGTTTTATATGAGCATTTCATGTAGTGATGGTAAGTGATCTTCGCTCAACTTAACGGTTTCATGTGTGCATTTAAATAGAATAGAAGGATCCATCTTCACGTCTGTGAAACAACTGGTTCGAAGTTTATTTGAAATCATCATTAAATATCCGAATTACCGCATGATGATATATAACATCTAACTCACTGCTCTTAGTTGTTTACAAGTTTCATTGGGCTTGGCTGATTCGCCATACTTCTGATGTGATCGTACAATAGTATACATATTAGCAACAGCTCTGTGAATGAAAATCAATTATATAAAATTCCGATTTACATAACTATGGTGCTAAGTTCATATATGCGATTAGCAGCTAAGTCTCTTGTGTGTTCCCACTGAGTCTCTTTATTTCTCCCACTCATTTGCTGCAACTCCAAGTGATTACGAAGCTCAACTATTTCGTTAGTTAGAGAGAGTTTCTCATCTTGTTTTGTCTGATGAATTATATCAAGGTATATCAGTTAAATTACCTTTTTAAAATGAACAAGTTCACTGCTTTTGCTGTCTATAAGTTTCTGTGCTTTTGCATCTGAATTTCTCAGATCCTGCGACTTTGTAGGTTTTCTTAAATTAACTAACCTCTAAGTTGGCTTTCAGAGCATCGTATCGTGATATGAGCTCATAAATATCAGAAAATTCATCGGACATTTTAACAACCGACTCCAGAAAAAGCCGATATTTAAGAAGCGACTTGACCTTTCTTTCTTCCTTTTCACGTATTTTGGTAAATCTCGCAATATCGTCATTTAGACTACGGAAATTTCTTAAAGTTAAACTATTAGTTACATATTGATTTCAGTTTGCTTTTGCTGTTGTAAGCCTTTTTCTGTTGATATTTTTTTCGTCGCTCTTACTCTCTTTTCATCATTATCTTTGAAGAACTGGTCAAACTTTATGAGTGATTCTTTAAGTTCACACTCTTTTTTCTCCAGGTCTTCTCTTCTTCTTTGCATACATTCCATTTTAACCCTAAATTCCTTTTAGCATATTGACGATAGCAATTAAAATCGTTGTACCTCTTTTTTGGCCGTAAGTGCGCTTTGAACATTTTTTAGCTCCTTATATTTTTCTAGAAGTTTGGTAGAATTAGTTAAGTTTCTATCTTCGTCTGCAGGTGCATTACTTAAAAATGAATAAAGATAGTAACAAGAGTTACACCAGTAATTTTTCTTGAAACACAGTTTTCAGATATTCTTCAATGGTGAACTCTGTATTCTTTAAAGCTTTTGAAAAGGAACTAGTCTTTTCAATTTTCGGCTCCATTTAAAAGATTGACCTTGTAGATAACTAAGGTATCACATACTTTGAAAAAGTAAAACTACGACAAGGTCAGATGTTCAAAATAATCAATATGAAGAGATAATAAAAAGTGGTTTTCCTTTTACTAAGCCTCTAGCATTATTTTTGGTATCAAAATTTATTTTACATCATTTAGTTCCAAACGAACTGAACAAAACATGAAAGTGTTTCGAACGGTTCAAATGGTTACAGACTATATAGAAGAATCTTTCGCTTAATGGGCTTCCATATCTAATTACAATGAGCTTCCGATTTATTTAGGCGAATGCCTAGGTCTATTTCAAGATTAAAAGAAAAATAATTGGAAGTTGTGATGGAGAAAACTGCTGAGTGCTAATTAATAGTTCAAGCTAACTCACGAAGGACTCCATAGACGTCTCTTGAATTAACTAAGTCGGCATCAAGTTCCAACATCTGAGCATATGGTCCATTTTGTCATGTTAAGCCTCTAATTTCTGGGTATTGAGGATGATACAGGTATTCAGTGTTTGACAACGCTTCTACCAGTAACACCTTCTAATATACTTTGTTCCCACTGGGAGAAATCAAAAGACAGAGTCGAGGAGATCGGAGGAGTGTATTTGGCGATAACCAGTGTATCGGAATTCTCTGATCTAATCTGGCTAGCAATTGCGGTAGATGTTGAGCACAGCGTTACCACACATGATCTGCTGCGGATGCATGACCGAGCACCTTCAGCTAGATGAGTCCACTAAAACATATGGTCAGCATCCAATGTCGAGAACTTACAGAGCTATTTAGTTTTGGGATTTATTTACCACTACAGATCACTCCCCCCTAGTGGGACAATGATGATCCTAGGACGTGTCCAGCCAGAAGTTTAAACCCAACGAGTTTGTCGTTGGTAAACACTTTTCTGATAGCTTACTAAATTTAGCGGCGTCTGGTCGTCTTTCCTTACTATATGGGACCGAGGTACAACATAGTAAAAAAAGAAAGATACAATGAAAATTTCGGATCCTCATAAACGTCATCGTTCTTTTCCTGCCGTCCTGGAAAAGAAAAAAGAAAATGTAAGTGCATGTCGAAATACACTCGTATGTGCGTACAAAAACACAATGTCGGCGAAAAAAATGGAAAATAAACTCAAGCACACGTAATAGCGTTAAAATAAATTTCGTTTTTTTAAAATAAAAATATATAAGCATATTAAAAATTTTTTTCAAATATTATATATCGTAAAAAGGAAGATCGAGATAATATAAAATATCGAGTAGTGCTTTACGTGCAATAGTCGTTTAAATGTTCTGGAAATCTTACTCTTCTTCCAGAACGTGTCGTTTTAAGTTTATTTTCAGACACATTCGGAGCGTCATCGCCAGTGTTGGTTGTTGGTTGAGGAAGTATGAGTGTGGGAGTCGAGCTGTGCGATTGTACCGAAATAAAATCGACGTGAATAGGATTTCCTTCTAAATACGCTGCTTTTAAGCGATCGATGCTGATGCTATCGTTTGTTCCGTTCTTATCGACTATATAGTACTTAGATTCGCGTTGAAGAACTTTGAAAGGTCCTTCGTATGCTGATTCGAATGGTCGTCGATGTACGTCTCGACGAACGAAAACGTGTGTACTATATCGTAAGTCATGTTGAACGAAAACATCAGTTGATTGAGGTCGAGTGGAAGCAGGTTTAACTGAACGCATTGCGTTTGTAAGCCTGTTCGTGTAGGAGGTTAGATCCATGCTCATTGATGAGGATGAAGGATCCACGAATTCTCCTGGAAGTCGGAGTGTCGTTCCATAAACGAGTTGAGCCCTAGTGTATCCAATGTCAGCTTTCACTGCATTGCGGATACCTAGTAAGACGAGTGGAAGAGCGTCGGTCCACTGTGAAACGTTTGCAGCTGATAGCGAAGCTTTTAGTTGTCGGTGAAAACGTTCTACCGACCCGTTTGCTTGTGGGTGGTAGGCGGTCGTTCGGAAGCGAGTGTTCCCTAATAGTGTGGTCAGACGACGGAAAAGTTCAGACTCAAACTGACGTCCGCCGTCTGTAGTGATGGTTGAAGGGCAACCGAAGTTTGCTACCCATCGTTCGACGAAGGTGCGGGCCACTGTTTCAGCAGTGATGTCCTTGATAGGTACTGCTTCTGGCCATCGAGTGAAACGATCTATACAGGTTAAGAGTATCCATTTGAATCTGGTAAAGGTCCTACCAAATCCAGATGAACATGGTCGAAACGAGCATCGGGAGTTTTAAATGAGCCTAAGGGACATTTATTGTGTCTGATGACCTTAGATTTTTGGCAGCTTACACAGGAGCGTACATACACCCTCACGTCTTTATTCATGACAGGCCAGCAAAACAGTTCTTCTATAAGCTTGATGGTTGCACGAACACCTGGATGAGAAAGTTTGTGCAATGTGTTGAAGACATTGCGTCGATAATGTTTCGGCACAATTGGGCAATCCCTACCTGTAGATGTGTCACAAAGTAAGGTTTCCTTACCTGTTCCCATCTCTTTGATGCGTAGTTTAAGGGTTGTGGACTATAACTCGTGCTGAAGATCAGTGTCTTCTTTTTGAAGTTGGGCGAGTTTCAGGAGGTTGATTCCTTGGAAACTGTTCAAGGAATTTATTCGAGACAAGGCGTCTGCAACTACATTGTTTGCTCCAGAGATGTGTTGAATATCTGAAGTAAACTGCGAAATGTATTCCAGTTGTCAAGACTCACGGGGAGAGTATTTGTTTGAAGTAGAGCTTAGAGAGAAAGTGAGCGGTTTATGGTCCGTGAAAAGTGTGAATTCACGACCTTCGATATAGTGTTGGAAATGTCGTACAGCACAATACATAGCTAGGAGTTTCCTACCGAATGTGCTGTACCTCGATTCGGTGTCTAGCAACCGCCTAGAGAAAAATGCCAAGGGTTGCCAGGAGTTGTAAACCCATTGTTGTAAGACTCCTCCGATTGCCGAGTCAGATGCGTCTACTGCGATACAAATGAGTGCTTCAGTGTCCTAATGTGCGAGCATTGTTCCTTTAGGGATCAGTACCTTAACTGTGGAGAATGCTTTTCGTGCGGTGTCGTCCAAATTAATGGATTTCGCATTTCCACGAAGTTGGTCGGTAAGAGGTTTCATGAGTAAAGCGCATTTCGGTATGAAGCGTATATAGAAACTTACCAGGCCGTCAAACGTGCGTAATTGCTTGACGTTGGTCGGTTCTGGGTAATCCAGAATTTCCTCCACTTTGGTCCTAAGAGGTCGAATGCCTTGAGCATCGATAGTGTGTCCTAGGAAATCTAACGAGTCGGTTCAGAATTGGCATTTCTGAACGTTTACAGTAATGCCATGTTTTTGTAATCGTTCTAAAACAAGATCCAGATGCTTGAGATGTGATTATCTGTCCGGACTTGAGATAAGGCAGTCACCAACATACGCATGTGAGAAGTTGAGACCTCGAAAAACGTCGTCTATGAATCTTTGGAATGTTTGCGCAGCGTTTCTTAGACCGAAAGGCATTCGCGAAAATTCATAGAGTCCGAAAGGAGTTATGATAGCTGTTTTCGGTATATCGTCGGTAGCCGTTGGAATTTGGTAATACGCCTAAACCAAGTCGTTTTTCGAAAAGACAGTTGTACCTTTCAAGGTAGCTGTCAAATCGTGAATGTGAGGCAACGGGTAACGATCGGGAATGGTTTTTGCATTCGATCGCCGATAGTCACCAGTTGGACGCCAATCGTTGCTGTCCTTTTTAGGGACCATGTGCAACGGAGATGCATAAGGGCTGTTTGACGGTTGTATGATTCCTAAGTCGATCATGTGATCGAATTTGTTTTTCGCTAACCTTAGCTTTTCAGGAGCTAGTCGTCGTGCTTTAGAGAATACAGGTGGTCCTGTAGTCGTGATGTGATGTGTAACATTGCTGGTTACACACGGTAGTTACGGTTGAGTTTGTTGTATCCCAGAGTACTTATCGAGTAGTGGTTGATAGAGTGGGTCTATTATATGCTTAACTGTGACTGGGGATAATCTACAACCAGTAAAAGAAGTTACGCAAACGGATAAATTAGTGTTTCCGTCTACTAGCCTCCGTTTGCGCGTGTCGATGATTAGATTATGGTGTTGTAGAAGATCCATGCCAATGATTGACATAGAACCATGTGCAACAACGAAAATCCAATGAATGGGTTCGCGTAAACCCACGTTAAGGTAAACGTACCTTTCGCCATATGTAGCGATAGGTTTTCCGTTTGCCGCCAGTAAGTTTAGAGTTGATTCGTGGAGCCGGTCATTAGGATCTGCTGAGAGAACAATAACTTCTGCGCCAGTGTCGACGAGGTAGCGAACTCTCGTTGTCACGTCTGTAACGTACAACAGACGGCTATGTTCGCCGGCTACGGTTGCCGTCAACGCGTGCCGGCTTGGAAGTTTCCCGAGTTGTTTTTCGAGTCAGTCGTTTTAGTGTTGGGAAAATTGCAGGGTTTTCTGCAATTTCTGGAAGACTTTCCATACTGGTTATGATACCAGCACCATTTGGGGTTATCCGTCTCTCGTGGTCTAGAGACAGATCGTTTACGTGAAATGCTTCTACGTGGGCTGTGTGAGCGATTACGGTCGTTACGAAGATGAAGATAACGTGTGAGTGTATGACATAACTCTGTTATGTCATTCTGAGTAAATTGATGCTTTTCTTTGACTGAAAATACCTCTATAGTAGACGATTTCGTTATTTCTAAAATACGATCGGCAGATGCAGCCAGTTCGTCTAAGGCATTGTTTTGAAACGAGACAAGCACAGTTTGCACCTGCTGAGGAAGTTTAGACAAGAAAAGTTGTTTAAATAGGCCTTCGTCGAAAGTTCTTAGGCTTATAACCTCTCTCATTCGTTGCAACATGTCCATCGCAGAACCGTGTTGCAGGTCGATGTTTTTGAAGAGTTGATCTAACCTTTGTCGATCGGTTAGGTCTCCTCGTTTAAGAATCGAACGTTTTAAGATTTCGTAAGGTTCGGAAACATCACTAGTAAACATACTAGGTGT